ATATATATATTACTTTTCCAAATCACTAGTAAGTTGCTAGGACATAAATAGGTTGAAACAGTGTTCACACAACTTTACAGGGGTCATCTCTGGGGTATGGGATTGTGGGAGACTTGCTATCTGCATGGTTTGCAATTTATAGTGTGATTGTTTCAGGGAATAACAGATGATTCCACTTCGGGTGGGAGGATGGATGAATGGGGGCCTCCTGTGGAACAGGTATTTAACCCTAGAATATTCCCCAAAAGTTTTGGGTGGAGGATTGTGGGTTGAAGTACAGAGGGCTATTTGAATTGGCTTTAAGATAGGGCTGCCAGGGATTTAGCTCATTGGTGTTGCCGCCTGCCGCCTTCCTCCCAAGCGCAAGGTCCTGAGTTCGATCTCCAGTACCGAAAAAAAAAAGATAAAGCTGTTGTCTTTTCTGTTAACAGGAGGGTTTCGGTGTTTCCTGACTGCGGAAGGAAGTAAAAAGAGTTAGTGCTAACTTTGCGGTGGGGATTGAATCTAGGGCCTAGCACATACTGACCACACACTATGTGAGCTATATTGATGAGTCAGAGATTGTCCTGGTCTTCAAATTATGTATAATCAAATGAGGGATTTTATTTTTGGGTTTTTTTTTTTTTCCTTTTTGGTACCAGGCATCAAACTCAGGACCTTGCACTTGTGAGGCAGGTGGCATCACTACTGAGCTACATCCCCAGCCCTCTTTTTTGGGTTTTTTGAGACAGGGTCTGTGTAGTTCTTGCTGGTTTTGAACTTACTGTGTAGCCCAGGCTGGCCTCAAACTCAAGGCAGTCCTCGTGCTTCAGCCTCCCAAGTGTTGGCATTCCAGATATGTGGTACCACATCTGACTAATGAGGATTTTCTATACGCAGCAAATAGTTACTGAGCCCCCACCATGTTGTGACTGCTGGACACTGAGGATCTAAAGATAAAACATGATCCTTACCCTCAAGGATTACAGCCATTGGGACTGACAAATACATAAACAAGTAAAGTTGTTCTCAGAACCTCACTGGGGTGTGGATAAGACTAGAGATAAAGCTAGCTCAGAGAAAAAAGAAAAAAAGGTAGCTCAGAGAGAGCAAAGGCGAAAGATTTTAAGAAGGTGGTATCTGAGGGCCGGGGATTTAGCTCGGTGATTCCGGTGCCTGCCTCGAAAGCACAAGGTCCCAAGTTCGATCCCCGGTACCAAAAAAGAAAAAGAAGAAGGTGGTATCTGAGCTAGGTCTTATGAATGAATAGAATTTTTACTCAAGAGGAGATGTGAAGCCAAAGTAATTTTGAGAAGTCTGCTGTAGTTGGAATATAAATACAGGAAGTGAGAGAATGTGGTAGCAAAAAAAGCTGTAAAAGAGAATTGAAGCCAAGTTGTGAGGTCTGTGTATGGTTTGCTAAAAGCAGAGGAAAGAGCTGGCCGTGGTGGCACACACTTATAGTCCCAGCACTCTGGAGACTAAGGCAAGAAGATTACAAGTTCGAGGCCAGTCTGGGCTGTATAGTGAGTTCAAGTCCACCCTGAACTACATAGAGAAACCCTGTCTTAAAAAAAAAAAAAGCAGAGAAAAGGGAATGGGTATTTACAGAACATCTATGGCACAAATTTGTTCTGTGATCTCAGGGCTACTGGACAAAGAACCCTGCCTTTGACTCCCTCAGGAGTCTTAAACTTCTATCCTGTAGACAGAACCAGTGAAGGGTTGTGGAATAAAGTAGTAAGTATATAATCCAAAATGACAACTTGTTAACCCATGATGGCTGGATAGTCCTTTCCATTAACGAGGACATTCTTGCCTGCTGTCCAGGACAACCCCTGGCCAAGTCTCAATGCCTGAAGGCAGAATTAGTTATTAGAAGCATGATTGGTAGTGGGACACGTTGGCATATGCCTGTAATTCCAGCACTTGGGAGGCTGAGGGAAGAGGATCATGAGTTTGAAGCCAACCTGGGCAGCATATTGAGACCCTGGAGAGGAATGAGAGAACAGTTAAACAACTTTAAGCAAAAGGAAGTGTGAAAAGTTTTGAGCATAGTTTACCTTATGCCCCAGTATAGTGTCTATTCTGGTGGCCAGATTCATACCTGCTTCTGTTTTGTGTTTCAAGGTGAGCACATCCCCTTCTTTAATCTTTCTCATGGGACACAAGACAGCTGATGAGATTCCAGCTTTGTGAATTTAAACACATACCAGTCCTGTCTCCCTGAGGTGTCATCAGATTATCTCGATGAGAGTTTGGGGTGTTCAGAACTCTTCAGCCTTACAGCTTTAGGGTATTCAGTTTCTACTCGACAGTAGTTAATCACATCTGTAATCACATCTGTTAGGATTATTATGGGATTACAGGTTTGACTGTAAAGAGGTAACCTCAAGTTCTTAAGAGTCCACTTTCCTGCAATGGAGGGTCTGATACCGTGTAGTTTAGTTTAATGAACAGTTGGGGGTCTACCATCTGTCAGGCAAACACATGGGATTCAGGAGGATGGAGTGAGGCCGCCTGCCCTAGATTTGCTTGTGGTCTTTAGAGAAGACAAACAGTAGTAGATAATTCACTCCACACCAGAATGTGCAGAGATAGAGGAACTGTGGAAGCACAAAGGAGGGGGCCCTGTCTTGGGGAGCTGTGAAAGGCTGCCTGCAGGAAGCAGTTTCGGAGCTGAGTCTCAGAGCAGGTATCTGTTGTGGAGAAAGCATTCTAGCCAGGGAGAGGAACTATCATGTGCAAAGCCCTAAATTGTGGAGGTTCACATTGTGCTGGATGATGGGAGACCGCAAGGATTCTGTAACTGAGCAGTAAACAGTAAGATGTGGAACATAAGGAATGGAGATCAAGGTATAAACTCCCTTTTTGTAAGCTCTCCCACTGAGTTTGGTCATCATTCCCAGGACAGGAAGGCATATGAATGATGAGATACCTCTTTTATTTATTTTTTATTGTATTTTTTTTTTTTTTTTGAGATACCTCTTTTAGAAGAAGCACCCAGTTGGAGAGACAGGCTGGTGATTCAGGGAAAAAACCTACAAAGCAAAGGCCTGAACTAGGATGGTGATTTTAGGGATGGAGAAGAGGGACAAGATTCAAGAAATGTCTAGGAGGTCAAAATAACCAGTACTTGGTGAATGGTTGGATAGTGATAATGGCCATGTGTATGTTAAGCACCTCTTATATTCTGGGTTTAAGTCCTTAATGATTACACAGGGGCTGGGGATATAGCTCACCGATATAGCCCACCTGGCAAGCTTGAGGTCCGGAGTTCGATTCCCAGTACCAAAAAAAACCCAAAAAACCTCTTTAATGATGACACATTTTGTAAGCAACAGAGGCAGAATTACAAACCAGAGATCTCTGCCTGCAAAGCTCAAGCTATTTCAACCATGTTATACCTGAGGAAAAGGAAGGGTAAATAACAGTTTTCTGGTTTGGTTATCACACCGGAGTTGAGGGCAGAAGGAAAAGGAGAGGTTTTTATGGAGAAGGGAATTTACTTTTAGATATGTTGAATTTGACTTTACCTATCAGTGGGGTGTCTGCAGGGGGTTTAGTAGATAGTATGTGAATCCAAAGTCCAGAAGAAAGGTGGGTCTTGGAGATGAAGATTGGAAATCATCAGTATATTTATCTAGGAGAGTGTATACGGTAGTGAAAAATCACAGGACAGCATCTAGGGTGTGATAAGTATGGATTAGCTAAAATCCTGGGGAGTAACAATGTTTAAGGAGCAGACCAAAGCAGAAGAGTCTGGAAAGTAGATGAGGAAGCACCAGCCAGAGAAGTAGAGCAGGAAACAGAGGAGAGGTTCAAGGAAAAGGCCCATCTGCATACGTCACAGGCTAACAATGAGGACTGAGGTGGGTTCTTTTTATGTGGCATAGTGGCGTCAAGGTTGTGGTGTTACTTGAAGGACACATAATAGTAAGATAGCTGTGCATAAGTACTTGTCATCACTAGAGTTTGCTGATGTGTAGTACACAGGCAAACCCCATAGACCTGGGTTCAAATCCTAGTTCCACCACTTTGTAATTGTATGACATTGGGCCTTTCAGGTTTTGTAATCTAAAATGGAAATAGTGAAGCTAGACGACGTAGCACAGTACCTGTAATCCCAGTACTGCTAAGTGGCTGAAGCAGGAGGATTCCAAGTTCAAGCCCAGTCTGGGCAATACGGTGACTTAACAAGACCCTCTCTCGAAAAAGGTGGGGAGAGGGGCCAGGGATTTAGCTCAGTGGTTGTGCCGCTTGCCTTGCAAACGCAAGGACCCAAGTTCGATCTCCAGTACCAAAACAAAACCAAAAAAAAAAAATGGAGAGGGGAAGAGAAGGTGATTTTTTTAAAATTCAAGGTGTGTTGTGTTTATGTAACAACTCCCTATGAAGAATATAATCATTACGTACTACAAACATGTACTAATAAAAATAAATAAAACAGGGGCCGGGGATTTAGCTCAGTGGTTTTGCCGCCTGCTGCGCAAGCACAAGGACCCGAGTTCAATCCCCGGTACCAAAAGAATAAATAAATAAATGAATGAATGAAGGGTGTAGAGATTTTGTCCAGTGCAGAAGTGCTGGGTTCAGTCCCCAGTACCACATGCATAAATAGAGAGAACCTGAGGTGGGAGGATTGCCATAAGTTCAAGGCCAGCCTGCTCTATATGGTGAGATACTGTATTTGAATCAAGAGGATGTATTGTATTTGGGCCTGTTGGCATATGCCCAAAGTCCAAGCACTCCGAGAGGCTCAAGTTTGAACCCAGCTTAGGCAACTTAGCAAGACCATGTCTCAAAATAAAAAAGGATGGGGTATGTAGCTCAGTGTGAAGGCCCTGGGGTTTTTATTTTTAAATTGTTTTGTTTTATTTTATACCATTCCCCCACTCAAGGAAGGCCCTGGGTTTAATCATCAGTGTGTGTGTCTGTCTGTCTTTCTCTCACACACTTGGATTTAATTCCTGTAGAAGGTTAAGTCTGATTTTCGTTGTGTGAAAGTTTGCCTTGACCACCTCCAGTCCAGGGCAGAAATCTAACGTGTACTTCTGAGTTCTTCTATCTCCCACTTCCTGAAGTGAATTGGCCCCATTGAGTCCAGGTTTCATTTTGGCTCCATCAACATCTCCTTCCTAGCATCTACTGTCTTCTCATTGAGCTACAGGCCTTTTTTTTTTTGAGACAGGACCTTACTGTGTAGCCCAGGATGCCCTGGAACTCAGGGCAGTCCTCCTGCCTCAACCTCCTGAGTGCTGGGATTACATCCTGACCCGCGACAAGACCTTGTTAAGCCACTAAATTGCTCAGGCTGGGACAGAGCTTGCAACCCTTCTGCCTCGGCCTTCTAGAGCCCTGGGATTATAGGCATGCACTACCACACCTGGCTTCTCTTGCTCTCTATTAAAATTTCTGCTTCCTTTTTTTTTTTTTTTTTGTTACCAAGGATTGAACTCAGGACCTTGTGCTTGTGAGGCAGGTGGTGGCACCACTGAGCCAAATCCCTGGCCCTCTCTATTAAAATTTCTTAGTGCAGGTATAGAGAGATTCTTTCCAGAGTCTCAGATTCATGTGCTTGATTTCTGCTTGGGGGAAGAAATGAAGCTTGGGCTTTTATTTTTTCCCTCCTTGAAGTTTGTGGGGTTTTTTTAAGTTACTTTTATTTCTATGGTTAAGTTCTGTGGATGCCAGAGACCTAGAATTCAACCCTGAGATGTCTAGGGTACAAGAGATTATATGGGGTTGAAGGTAAAGCACATACCACCCTTCCGCATACAATGACTGGAACAAGCTTTAAGTGACTTGGGGGTCTTTTTGAGACAGGATCTCACTATGTAGTTCAGGCTGGCCTTGAACTCACTATGTAGCCCAGGCTGGCTTCGAACTCACTTCGATCCTCCTGCCTCTGCCTCCTGAGTCCTGGGATTCCAGGCATGCGCTACCATGCCCGTGTGATTTGGGGTTTTCTTGGGCCTTAGTACGGAGTTCTCTAGCCATGAAGGCTGGAAACTAGGAAGACTGTTTAGTTGTTAATGGCTTTTCTTTTCTGCAGAAGCGGATGTCTGTGACAGAGGGTGGTATCAAATACCCAGAGACAACTGAGGGAGGTCGCCCCAAGCTTGGGGGGCTAATGGATCCAAGGCAGGGGGTGATTGAACGAACTGGCCGCTGCCAAACATGTGCAGGTGAGTGCTGGGTGCTAAAGGGATCCTGAAGGGAAGGAGAAAGGCTTGGGTCTTTAAAGAAAACCAGAGCTGGGCCAGGACACCTGGAGAAATGGTCTCTGAGGTGAATGGGAGCTGGAAATCATTAAGTGCATGTTCCTACAGGAAACATGACAGAGTGTCCTGGCCACTTTGGCCATATTGAACTAGCCAAGCCTGTATTTCATGTGGGCTTCCTGGTGAAGACAATGAAGGTTTTGCGCTGTGTCTGTTTCTTCTGCTCCAAACTGCTTGTAGACTCCGTGAGTAGGAAACAGGCCCTGGTCTGGGAGGGAGGAGGCTACTGGCTAGAGGGGTAGGGGAACAACCCCAACTAATTTTGCTCTGTCCTTCCCCTAGAACAACCCAAAGATCAAAGACATCCTGGCCAAATCCAAGGGGCAGCCCAAGAAGCGACTCACACATGTCTACGACCTTTGCAAAGGCAAAAACATCTGCGAGGGTGGGGAGGAAATGGACAACAAGTTCGGTGTGGAGCAGCCTGAGGGTGATGAAGATCTGACCAAAGAGAAGGTGGCTGGGGCTGGCAAAGACTAAGGGGATGGAGGGGCCTGGGGAGGTGGACATAGAGGCCTAGAGGGAAAGCAAGAGGCTGCAGAAGAATCAGTGAAACTAGGAGAACACAGAGGAATAGGAAGGGCTGGCCTCATGTGACAGGAAGTGGCCTGACTTGGGCTCTGACAGGCCCTCTTTCTATTTGGAAGGGCCATGGCGGCTGTGGGCGATACCAGCCTCGGATCCGGCGCTCGGGCCTGGAGCTGTATGCTGAGTGGAAGCATGTTAATGAGGACTCTCAGGAAAAGAAGATCCTCCTGAGTCCGGAGCGAGTGCATGAAATCTTCAAACGCATCTCAGATGAGGAATGTTTTGTGCTGGGCATGGAGCCCCGCTATGCTCGGCCTGAATGGATGATTGTCACAGTGCTGCCAGTGCCCCCCCTCTCTGTGCGGCCTGCTGTGGTGATGCAGGGCTCTGCCCGAAACCAGGTCAGCAGCTCCAGGACTCTCCCTCTCAGATGGATGGCTGGGTGTCTGAGGGCAGAAGGCCCTGTGAGGGTGGCGTGTTCACAGGGCCAGAGAGAGATCTGAGTTGGAAAATATCTTGCCATTTGTGTGACCTTTAAGGAGGCCCTTAATGTGGTTAAAGGTCATGAAGGGCCTTCTGTATCTATAAACAAGAATAGACCTATCTTTGCCTCCCAGAGTGGTATGAAAGGAAAGCTGTGCTGTGTGCCTGGCATGTGTATGCTGAGTGTCTAATTGGTGGTGGCTGGACTGTGACAATGCTGACCTCTTACCTCAGGATGACTTGACACACAAATTGGCTGACATTGTGAAGATCAATAATCAGTTGCGGCGGAATGAGCAGAATGGTGCAGCAGCTCATGTTATTGCAGAGGATGTGAAGCTTCTCCAATTCCATGTGGCCACTATGGTGGACAATGAGCTGCCCGGCTTGCCCCGTGTGCGTCTGGATACCCCCTCCCCCTGTGGATTGGAGCCTGGGTGGGGGCCAGTGTGAGGACTCACAGCTGGGGGAGCACCCAGTGCTGACTGCTACGCTGCCCCCCTTCCTGTGTTTTCTCACAGGCCATGCAGAAGTCTGGCCGTCCCCTTAAGTCCCTGAAGCAGCGGCTGAAGGGCAAGGAAGGCCGGGTGCGAGGGAACCTGATGGGCAAACGAGTGGACTTCTCAGCTCGTACTGTAATCACCCCCGACCCCAACCTGTCCATTGATCAGGTTGGCGTGCCCCGCTCCATTGCCGCCAACATGACCTTTGCAGAGATTGTCACCCCTTTCAACATTGACAGGTGTGCCTCAGTCCAGAAGCCCTGCCCGGAGTGGCTATAGGGCACTTGGCCTCAGTGGTGAGGCTTTGAAAGAGGTTGAGGCGTGCGCCCCTTAACCCATGGGAGGGTGCACGGAACAAAGAGGGCATTGAAGTTTAGAAGTTTGGTTTCTACTCGGCTTTAGGGTGAGAGTGGTGGCAGGGATTTTTTTTTAAGGAAGTGTTTTGTTCATTGCACCTATTTTCTTAGACTTCAGGAACTGGTGCGCAGGGGGAACAGCCAGTACCCGGGGGCCAAGTACATCATCCGAGACAATGGTGATAGAATTGACTTGCGTTTCCACCCCAAGCCCAGTGACCTTCACCTTCAGACTGGCTATAAGGTATGTAATAGGTCAGGTCTCTCTTAGCCACCTGAACCAGAGGCTTTCTAGAATGGAGGCTGGCTGGAATTGCCATTTGAAAGTGTCTGTTCATTGGGATCCAGATTTGTTGACTTTTTTTTTTTTAAATATTGTTAGCCTAGGAGCGTTTGTAACTGTCAGCCACTGCCATTTGGGGTGAGGGTTGCATCAGCCCAGGGGAAGGAACATTTGCAATGATACCTTGGTTCACAAACTTAATTCTTTCCGTGATTCTGGGAAAGATGGCCACATTTGTGTTTGTGTGGGGAAGATGGCTGTGGTCATGTTTATCACCCGATGTGGAATTTGTGAACAGAAGCAAAGTTTTGCTGAGTGATTTTCTTGCTAACTGAATTGTCTCAGAACAGAAGCATTCATGAATTGAGGTATTACTGTATATTGCAGGGAGGAGAGATCCATGGAGGAATAGCAAAAAGGCTTCATAGTCCTTAGGGATATGGTTTTCTCCCGAGGTTGAATAATTGATTGGTGAATACTATATTTTATTATCACTGATAATCTGGTATCTAGCTCAGGGGCTGGCCCAGAGGGGCTATTTGATATGCATTTAAACTTAAAGAACATCTCAGTATCATCTCTTTCAGTTTACAAGGATCCTGTGTTTGCTATCATTTTGTTCTTAGCATACCGCCTTCAATGTGCTTGATTCTGTACCTCACTTCCTAGGTGGAACGGCATATGTGCGATGGGGACATTGTTATCTTCAACCGGCAGCCAACTTTGCACAAAATGTCCATGATGGGGCATCGAGTCCGCATCCTCCCATGGTCTACTTTTCGTTTGAATCTTAGGTCAGTTCCCTGGCTGAGGAAAGCAGGCTAGGATGGGACAGGCTGGGCTACTCCCTGAGGTTTTACTGAAGATGTCTTCTAACACTTTTCCCTTTAATTGCAGTGTGACAACTCCATACAATGCAGATTTTGATGGAGATGAGATGAACTTGCACCTGCCACAGTCTCTGGAGACGCGAGCAGAGATCCAGGAGCTAGCCATGGTGCCTCGCATGATTGTCACCCCCCAGAGCAATCGACCTGTCATGGGCATTGTGCAGGACACGCTCACAGCTGTGCGAAAATTCACTAAGAGGGATGTCTTCTTGGAACGGGTATGTGGTCCAAATGGAAACCTGACTCTGGCAAACAGAAAGGGCAAAGGGTGGAAAGGAAGAGATGTCATGTTTTTTCCTGTCTTGTTCTGCACTGATGAATATGTGAGATTGCCTTTTCTGGTGAGGTGGAAGGAAAAGGTGGGTAGGGAAGAATAGGAGCCAGAAATGGTGTATGGCTTTAGCTTTCCATTTGGTATATGTGCTGCCGAAGCAAGCACTAGCTTTCCATTTAATTCCTTAAAATGTCACATAAATCCAGCTATTATCTGTAAAATACAGGTGGAGGGAAAATAAACAAGCCCTTGTTAAAACTTTTACCTTCAATTATTTTCTGATTATTAAACTGTGCTTATTGAAAAAGAAGTCTAGGGGTCTGGGGATTTAGCTCAGTGGCTGCCTTGTAAGCGCTAGGTCCGGAGTTTGATCCCCGGTACTCCCCCTCCCCACCCCCCAAAAAAGTAAGTCTAGAGCCAGGTGTGGTGGCTCAGGCCTGTAATTCCAGCACTTGGGAGGCTGAGACAGGAGGTTCGCCACAAGTTCGAGGCCAGGCTGAGCTACATAGTGAGTTCAGAGTCAGCCTAAATTACAAAGGGAGGCCCTGCCTCAAAAAAACCAAAAATAAATAAATATTACAGTGAATTTCTGTTTTAATTACCCAATACATTTTTTATTACAAGTTGGGAAGGTACTTTCCTTGTCATCCTTTTCCCTCTAAAATCTAGCTTCCTCCTTGGGGAGGGAAGTCTTCCTGACATTCCTGAGATGTGAGGCCTATGATCTGACATCTTTCTTACTATTTGTCACACAGGGTGAAGTGATGAACTTGCTAATGTTTCTATCCACGTGGGATGGGAAGGTCCCACAACCAGCCATCCTCAAGCCCCGGCCCTTATGGACAGGCAAACAGATCTTCTCCCTCATTATCCCTGGCCACATCAATTGTATACGTACTCACAGTACCCATCCTGATGATGAGGACAGTGGCCCTTATAAACACATCTCTCCTGGGGACACCAAGGTAGGGTCTGGCTTTTTATATATGAGAATATGATTTGAACGTAGGAACAAAAAATAGGCATTGAGTGGGTGCTTGTCCATAGGTGGTGGTAGAGAATGGGGAGCTGATCATGGGCATCCTATGTAAGAAGTCTCTGGGTACCTCAGCTGGCTCCCTCGTCCACATCTCCTACCTAGAGATGGGTCATGACATTACTCGCCTTTTCTATTCAAACATCCAGACTGTCATTAACAATTGGCTCCTCATTGAGGGTGAGTATGACAAGCTCTGCCATTCCTCTGGGTGAATCCTCTTTCCCACTTCTTACTTTCCATCTCTTTCTCTTCTCCTTGGGTTTGGTGTTCTTTCGTTTACTCTTGGCCACCGTTTCCTCCTGTGTTGCTTGGGGTCAAAAGATAATGTCATTTGATGCTTCTCTCTAACTCTAGGTCATACCATTGGCATTGGGGACTCCATTGCTGATTCTAAGACTTACCAGGACATTCAGAACACTATTAAAAAGGCCAAACAGGATGTAATAGAGGTGAGAGGGAAGGTTGGGGAGTGGTAGAGTAAGAGCTTCCTGGGGACTTCTAATTTAACAGCAGCAGAGAGCAAAGTGGATGTAATGGTTAAAGGGAAGTGGAATCGAATAGGCATTGGTGTCTCACTGAGAATGCTTGCTCCAGGTCATTGAGAAGGCTCATAACAATGAGCTGGAACCCACCCCAGGGAACACACTGCGTCAGACGTTTGAGAATCAAGTGAATCGCATTCTCAATGATGCCAGAGACAAGACTGGCTCCTCTGCCCAGAAATCCCTGTCTGAATACAACAACTTCAAGTCTATGGTGGTGTCCGGAGCTAAGGGTTCCAAGATCAACATCTCCCAGGTGAGAAGCCTTGCCTTTCCAGATAGGGGTCCATACTGACATCTGGAGGAGGAAAGTCGGATTGTGTGTTTTAGGGTTAGGAAAGTTAGAGAAAATATTGGAAATTTGTCATTTAAGCCAAAGAGAATTTGATGCAGCCCACCTTTTCTCTTTCCTAGGTCATTGCTGTTGTTGGACAGCAGAATGTGGAGGGCAAGCGGATCCCATTTGGATTTAAGCACCGGACTCTGCCTCACTTCATCAAGGATGATTATGGGCCTGAGAGCCGTGGCTTTGTGGAGAACTCTTACCTGGCCGGCCTCACACCCACTGAGTTCTTCTTCCATGCCATGGGGGGTCGTGAAGGGCTCATTGACACAGCTGTCAAGACTGCTGAGACTGGTGAGGCCTTCAGGGCAGTTCTGGGGAGTGTGTGTCTAAGAAACTCCTAGTGGGAGTTGGGAGAGAGTGGGACTCAGGATAGAGGCTTCTGTTCCCAGAGGTCGAATTTTGGCTTTCATGGAGAGTAAAGTCTATCTAACTATCTAACTCTAGGGTGTGGCTCAGTGGTACACCACTTGCCTAGCATGCATGAGGCCTTAGGTTTGATCCCCTGTGTGTGTGTGTGTGTGTGCGTGCGTGCGCGCGCGCACATGTATATGTGTGAGAGAAAGAGACACACCCTTATCTTTGCTTTCCAGTATTTCATGATGTAAAGATGAGCCTCAGGCTCTACTTTTGGCCTAGCACATAGGGGTCAGTGTTAGGGAACTTCACTAGGTGTTCAATCCATCTGATTTTAAATGTGACTTTTGTCAAAAAATCCTTTTGGGTCTTAGGGCATAGTTTGGTAGAGCACTTGCCTAACATTCGTGAGGCCCTGGATTCAATCCCTGGCACTACAAAAAACTAAAAAAGTCTCCGCTGCCTGGCTCACAAGTGCAAGGTCCCAAGTTTGAGCCCCAATACCAAAAAAGAAAAAAAGTCCTCAGGGATGAGGGGGCTATCATATGGCTCTTTGAAATCTTTTTGCTTTGAGTCTTTTGATTTATCACCCCTCCACACAGGGTACATCCAGCGACGGCTGATCAAGTCCATGGAGTCAGTAATGGTGAAGTATGATGCAACTGTGCGAAACTCCATCAATCAGGTGGTGCAGCTACGTTACGGCGAGGACGGCCTGGCAGGGGAGAGTGTTGAGTTCCAGAACCTGGCTACGCTTAAGCCTTCTAACAAGGCTTTTGAGAAGAAGTAAGGATGTGGGCAAGTGGGTGATTTATGTCCCTGGGTCTCAGGGCCTGAGTTGTAAGAGTCACACTGCCTTAGAGCAGTAGGTGAAATGTGTTGAAGTGCGTTTTATCTTGCAGGACCTTTTCTCCACCCATGTGAAACACTTGCTTGATGGTGACAGAGGCTGACTAGGGACAGATTTGAGATTATTCTTGCTTTGTCCCTGATGATGGTACATAGCAACATAGAGGGCACCCAGTTCTTAGGTCCCATTGGCAATCCTTGGGCCTAGAGTTTAAATGTCTGTCCAGGATCCTTGCCTCCAAAACTCAGTTATTTGTGGGGTGTGTACTTTGGAAGCCTCACAGTGCTCTTGTGAGGATGAAAACACACCCGCCCCTTGATCCCACTCTCTTGCCACTTGCAGGTTCCGCTTTGATTACACCAATGAGAGGGCCCTTCGGCGCACTCTGCAAGAGGATCTGGTAAAGGATGTGCTGAGCAATGCACATATACAGAATGAACTGGAACGGGAATTTGAACGGATGCGTGAGGATCGGGAGGTGCTCAGGGTCATCTTCCCAACTGGTGACAGTAAGGTACACGTGTGGGAAGTGCTAGACTGAGTTGTGCAGCTGCTGGATGGCTGTCCCCTGACTTACAGTCCTTCCTCCATTACCTTCTTCAGGTTGTCCTTCCCTGCAACCTTCTACGAATGATCTGGAATGCCCAGAAAATCTTCCACATCAACCCTCGCCTTCCCTCTGACCTGCACCCCATCAAAGTGGTAGAGGGTGAGTACCTCCATTTAAGGGGTCTCCAGGCTGGGCTGGAGAGATAGAAGTCTGCTGTGCCCTGGTCTGATCTTTTCACCCCTCATTTGGCCCCAGGAGTCAAAGAATTGAGCAAGAAGCTTGTGATTGTGAATGGGGATGACCCACTAAGCCGCCAGGCTCAGGAGAATGCCACACTGCTCTTCAACATCCACCTGCGGTCCACGCTGTGCTCCCGCCGAATGGCTGAGGAGTTTCGGCTCAGTGGGGAGGCCTTTGACTGGCTGCTTGGGGAGATTGAATCCAAGTTCAACCAAGCTATTGTGAGTGTTGTGCTTCTCACTTTGACTTTGTGTTGTTTTGTTTGCTTATTGGTTTCTCTGGTTTCCAGTATAGCTCACGTTCTTTTTTTTTTTTAAAGACGGGTCTATGTAGTTCAGGCTAGCCTCGAAATCATGGCGATCCTCCTGCCTCAGCCTCCCAAGTACATGCACCAATATACCCAGCTTCAATACATCCCACTTCTGTCCATAGTCACCTAGTAATAACTGTATTTATTGAAAGACTGGTATCTACCAGGACCTGTTTGATACATTATGCCTTTGTATCAAAGTAACCTTAAAATGACCCAAGTAGAGGAGGGATTATTAGTTCCATGTGGCAGAAATAAAACTGAGGCTCAGACAGAGTGACTATTGTATAATGGTCATACAGAAAATAAGTGGTACGACCAGAATAACAAATAGTATTGTTCTTTATTTTCCTAAATGCTTACTGTGTGCAGAATTTTAATTTAGGCAGAGGTAGGAAATTGCAGGGAGTATGTGGAAAAGAGATTTACAGATACTGGAATATGCTGTCACTGTCTTTAAGGGTTTTACAGGATAATGAATTTGATGTAAATCTGCTCTTGGTAAATTAATTAAAACCACATTAGAAAATACAAAAGACCATTGAAAGGAATTATAAAGAAGATGTAAATTAATGACAAGACATCTCATGTTCATGGGTTGGAAAACTTAATATGGCTAAATAGTAGTGTGCCCCAAAGTAATCTACAGATTCAGCACAAGCACTATCAAAATTTCAGAAATTTGGACTTTTAGATAGTGTAGTGCCTTTTCTGGATGTGCTGCATACCAGGAGCTAAAATGGGTGTTAGTCAAAGCTTATTTGAGGAAGGGGGTGGTTAAATAAGACCGTAAGTGTCTTTGCCTTTTCCCAACTCCTGTGCTCTGGGTTCTTTATGATTAGATGATAGTCCTGGCCCTGACTGTGTCCTGTTCATTAGCCACAAGACAGGTTGGTTTTATCTAATGCTAGCTTTTCCTTAGGCCCATCCTGGGGAAATGGTGGGAGCTCTGGCTGCACAGTCCCTTGGGGAACCTGCCACTCAGATGACCTTGAACACCTTCCACTATGCTGGTGTGTCTGCCAAGAATGTGACACTGGGTGTACCCCGACTTAAGGAGCTCATCAACATTTCCAAGAAGCCAAAGACCCCATCACTCACGGTCTTCCTGCTGGGCCAGTCTGCTCGAGATGCTGAGAGGGCCAAGGTAAGGATTAGGTATGATGGGCTTCTTGGCAGGAAGAAAAGGAGGTGAATTTTTCCACTTGAATGGAGAATTAGAGATCCCTCAGTAGAAGGGGTTCAAGAGGCCTCAGGTTGCCCAAATACCTGTGTCATGAGCCCCTCTATTCCCAGGACATTCTGTGCCGCCTGGAGCATACAACATTGAGGAAAGTGACTGCCAATACAGCCATCTACTATGACCCCAACCCCCAGAGCACAGTGGTAGCAGAAGATCAGGAGTGGGTGAATGTCTACTATGAAATGCCTGACTTTGATGTGGCCCGAATCTCCCCCTGGCTCTTGCGGGTGGAGCTGGACCGGAAACATATGACTGACCGGAAGCTGACCATGGAACAGATTGCTGAAAAGATCAATGCTGGTAAGGCTAGGAGGGCAGGCCTAGCTCAGGAGTCCTGCCTGGATCCCATCTCTGCCATGTTCACTGAGAGTCACCCTCTTTCTGCCATCTATGTGCACCCCCCACCCCACCCCCCGCCAAGGGTGTCTCTTCTCCAGGGTTACTGTTTCCCAATCCTCAGGCCCTCCAGGCCCTGCATTCCCATGTTCCCCTTCCCATTTTCTGGAGATAAATCTGAGACAGCTTTTGAGAGGAGGGGGAAGCCAAACTTAAGCACCCTGTTAGAGGAGAACTGCAAATGGAAAGTGATGAGGAACCAAGTCTTGTACATGTGGTCTTGTTCTCATGGCTCATTCTTCTCCCTATTAGGTTTTGGCGATGACTTGAATTGCATCTTTAATGATGATAATGCAGAGAAACTAGTCCTCCGTATCCGCATTATGAACAGTGATGAAAACAAGATGCAAGAGGTAAATGGGACGCAAGAAGAAACTGACATACAGAAAACCATTAAGTCTTGTTTAATGACCAGGAAAAGTAGGATAGAAGCAACATTGAGGTCCCAATAGCATTTAGCAACAGTTTTTAAAATTTGCACCTGCAGGGCCAGGGATTTAGCTCAGTGGTTCCGCCACCTGCCTCGCAAGTGCAAGGAACCAAGTTCGATCCCCAGTACCAAAAAAAATTTGCACCTGCAGCCAGGTGCAGTGACACAGTAGTAATCCCAGCTACTTGGGAGGCTGAGACATGAGGATCTCAAGTTTGAGGGCAACCTGGGCAATTTAGCAAGGCTCTGTGTCAGCAAAGGACTGAAAATATAGGGAAATATAGCTCAGTACTTCCTGGGTTCAATCCCCGGTATAAGGCAAAAGCAAAAAACTTGTAGCTGCAAAAATTCTTTTTTTTTGGTACCGGGGATCAAACTTGGGACCTTGCGCTTGCAAGGCAGGTGCCAGAACCACTGAGCTAAATCCTCAGCCCTGCAAAAATTCTTTGTAAGCTGGGCGTGGTGGCTGTCAGAAATCCTAGCACTCAAGGCTGAACCAGGAGGGTTGATGTAAGTTTGAGGCCAGCCTGAGCTACATAGTGAGTCCCTGTCTCAAAAATCTTTGCAGACCAAAGCAGTTCCTGGGGATGGGCAGATTGTTCTGCATATGCATGTGCCTGCTGCTGCTGCTGTTTGGATTTTTTGGGACAGGGTCTCTATGTATTCCAGTCTGGCCTTGAACTCACTGTGTAGTCTAGCCTGGCCTCAAAGTCACAACAATTCTCCTGCCTCAGCTTCCCAAGTTCTGGGATTACAGATGTGCTCCATGAGCTCAAGGCCTGCCAGGGCTACATAGTGAGTTCAAGATTAGCCTGAACTAGGCTGGGGATTTAGCTTAGTGGTTCCACCACCTGCCTCACAAGTGCAAGGTCCCGAGTTCAATCCCCGGTACCAAAAAAACCCCCCAAAAAACAAAACCAAAAGATTAGCCTGAACTATACAATGAGAACTTGTCTCAGAAAACAAACATAGCTGGGCCTGGTGGTACCTACCTGTAATCCTAGCATGAACTATATAGGGAGACACCACACCCCACCCCCCCACAAAAAAAAAAACACCCTGGAAAAAACATAAAAAGTGAAGATTTCACTACTGTCAGGGAATAATTAAGAAAATATGAATATATTTTGACAGAATACATTATATATCAGTTATATAAGAAGTCATTGTGGGCTGGGGATTTAGCTCAGTGGTTTCGCCACCTGCTGTGCAAGCTCAAGGACCCAAGTTCGATCCCTGGTACCGAAAAAACCAAAAAAAACAAGTCATTGTCATCAGTCATGGTGGTGCACTCCTATAATCCAAGCACTCAGGAGGCTGAGACAGGAGGATTGCTGTGAGTTCAAGGCCAGCCTGAATGGCATAGCTAGACCCTGTCTCAGAAAGCAAACAACAAAAAAGCAAGAAGTTACTGTCAAGTCAGTAGCAGACTGACTACCATTCAGCTCAGTGCCAGAAGTCGAGCAGGGGGTTCCGTGGGTCTGGTGATACTCCGTGAGTGTGTACACACATTTGTGAAGGACCAAGTGCCCATAGGACTGTATGGAAATAGGAACTACATTAGGGTAGTGGGTTTGGGCATCCCTTCCCAGTGGATTTGTTTTTGTTTTTGTTTTTGTTTGGTACCAGGGATCGAACTCAGGTCCTTGCACTTGTGAGGCATGTGGCGGAACCACTGAGCTAAATCCCCGGCCCATGTTTTAATATTGTAAAATGAAAAGCAGTCTCACCAGAGTCAAGGAAGCAGTCTGGTGACTGACTCTCAAGGACCCTGGAAGGTAGTAGTTTGGGTTAGGAACAAGGAGGAGACCAGAGGGTTGAAGGGGTGCTGAGCTTGCTCTCATTGCAGGAAGAGGAGGTGGTGGACAAGATGGATGATGACGTCTTCCTGCGCTGCATCGAGTCCAACATGCTGACAGATATGACCCTGCAGGGCATCGAGCAGATCAGCAAGGTCTGCTTTCCTGCTGTAGCCACCCTCTGCCCATGTTTCCCCAGCCCTGTCTGGCCAGCTCAAGCCAAGCTCACTCTGCTCCTCCAGGTGTACATGCACTTGCCACAGACAGACAACAAGAAGAAGATCATCATCACAGAGGATGGGGAGTTCAAGGCCCTGCAGGAGTGGATCCTAGAGACAGACGGCGTGAGCTTGATGCGTGTGCTGAGTGAGAAAGATGTGGACCCTGTGCGCACCACATCCAATGACATTGTGGAGATCTTCACGGTGAGCCCTCAGAGCTCCCTGCCTGGCGCACTTTCCTGGAGCTCTCCAGCTCTCAGGCCTCTCATTCTGTGCTCTCCACTGAGGCTATCTGTGCTCAGGTTTTCCTACTTGAATCCATTTCTCAGTGTGGAATGCACTGACCCCTGACTTCATTCCTGTGGATCTAGGTGGTGGCAGGAACAGTTAGCAGAGCTAACTGGGTCTTCACTTGCCCTGTCAACCCCCATGGCAGGTGCTGGGCATTGAGGCTGTGCGGAAGGCTCTGGAGCGGGAGCTGTACCATGTCATCTCCTTTGATGGTTCCTACGTCAATTACCGGCACTTGGCTCTCTTGTGCGATACCATGACCTGTCGCGGCCACTTGATGGCCATCACCCGACATGGGGTCAACCGCCAGGACACTGGACCACTTATGAAGTGTTCCTTTGAGGAAACGGTAATGGCAAAACTGAATAGGGTGGGAAGAGGGAGCTCTGTGGAAAGAGGGATGTGAAATGCACATGGATGCTGTTCTTCAGCTGTCTAGTCCTTGGGCTGTGACGTGAAACCACCCTGGGCACTATGTGTGGAGGGGTCTAACGGGTTGTAACCTCTTGTGGTTGTTCAGGTGGATGTGCTTATGGAAGCAGCTGCCCATGGGGAGAGCGACCCCATGAAGGGAGTCTCTGAGAACATCATGCTGGGCCAGCTAGCTCCAGCAGGCACTGGCTGTTTTGACCTCTTGTTAGATGCAGAGAAGTGCAAGTACGGCATGGAGATCCCCACCAACATCCCTGGTTTGGGGGCTGCTGGACGTGAGTATGAGAGGCCGAGCTGCACAAAACCTCCAGGTCTACAAGGGGGTGAGGCAGGCCATGACCTGGAGGGGTCACTAGTCCCTGGATGCCCTGACTCATTCTGGGCCTCTTTGCAGCCACTGGCATGTTCTTCGGCTCAGCGCCCAGCCCCATGGGAGGAATCTCTCCTGCCATGACTCCCTGGAATCAGGGTGCAACCCCAGCGTATGGTGCCTGGTCCCCAAGTGTTGGTGAGTAATCTGGCCCAAGAGGTGGGTGAGTCCAGAGGTGGGTGAGTTGGAATAGTGGGCAGCAACCATGGATGAACTGCAAAGGCCATGGGGGGTGGTTGGGTGAGGAAAGGTGGGTGGTTGGGCTCCAGCTCTGGTTTCAGCCTGCTCTAACCCCTTCCAGGGAGTGGCATGACCCCAGGGGCAGCTGGCTTCTCTCCCAGTGCAGCTTCAGATGCCAGCGGCTTCAGCCCAGGTTACTCCCCTGCCTGGTCTCCCACACCAGGCTCTCCAGGCTCACCTGGCCCCTCAAGTCCATATATCCCTTCACCAGGTGAGTTGTCAATATCCAACCATACTCATCTTCTTTGAGCCTTTTTTCTGAGTGAGTCTTACCATCGCTTATCTCACTTTGTTGCCTTCTTCCCCGCAGGTGGTGCCATGTCACCCAGCTACTCGCCAACATCACCTGCCTATGAGCCCCGCTCCCCTGGGGGTTACACACCCCAGAGTCCCTCATACTCTCCCACTTCGCCTTCCTACTCTCCAACCTCTCCATCCTATTCTCCAACCAGTCCTAACTATAGCCCCACATCCCCTAGCTACTCCCCCACCTCTCCCAGCTACTCACCAACATCTCCTAGTTATTCTCCAACCTCTCCCAGCTATTCACCGACCTCTCCCAGCTACTCCCCAACATCCCCCAGCTACTCCCCGACATCCCCCAGCTACTCCCCAACCTCTCCCAGCTACTCCCCGACGTCTCCCAGCTACTCCCCAACATCTCCCAGCTACTCCCCAACTTCACCCAGCTATTCCCCTACCTCCCCCAGCTATTCACCAACATCTCCTAGCTACTCACCTACATCTCCAAGTTACTCACCAACTTCCCCAAGTTACTCACCCACCAGTCCTAACTACTCTCCAACCAGTCCCAATTACACCCCAACATCACCAAGCTACAGCCCAACGTCACCTAGCTATTCACCTACTAGTCCCAATTATACCCCAACTAGCCCTAACTACAGCCCAACCTCTCCAAGCTACTCCCCAACTTCGCCCAGCTACTCACCAACCTCACCAAGCTATTCTCCCTCAAGCCCACGGTACACACCACAGTCTCCAACCTATACCCCAAGCTCTCCCAGCTACAGCCCCAGCTCTCCCAGCTACAGCCCAACTTCACCCAAGTACACCCCAACCAGTCCATCCTACAGCCCTAGCTCACCAGAGTACACCCCAACCTCCCCCAAATACTCACCTACCAGCCCCAAGTATTCACCCACTTCTCCCAAGTACTCTCCTACCAGCCCCACCTATTCACCCACCACCCCTAAATACTCACCAACATCTCCTACGTACTCACCAACATCTCCAGTCTATACCCCAACCTCACCCAAGTATTCACCTACTAGCCCCACATACTCTCCCACTTCCCCCAAGTACTCCCCCACCAGCCCTACCTACTCTCCCACCTCCCCCAAGGGATCTACCTATTCCCCCACTTCTCCAGGCTACTCCCCAACCAGCCCCACCTATAGCCTCACCAGCCCAGCCATCAGCCCGGATGACAGTGATGAGGAAAACTGAGATTAAGCAGGGCTCAGCAGCTGCCGCCTAGGCCCAAGGGTCCTGATGCAATGTAGTCCTCACGCTCCTGGCCCATGACGGTACCCTTGTACATAACTGTGATAGTTCGAGTTGAAGTTCTGGATTCCGTTTCTGAAGGGGCTTTTCATTTTTTCTCCACTTGTGCTGTCTCAGAACCCACAGACCTAGCTGTGGTGTTCTTCCTACCTACCTACCCCACGCCTGACCGTACAGTGAAGGTCCTTCCTTGCCTGTGGCTTGATTGGGTTTCATGGTATTCTAACTTCGTAGGGGTAGTTCCTGCTCTGGGTCATTCATCTGATCCTTGGGAAGAACAAAGCTCAAGCTGCCTTTTGTCTGTTATTTTGTCTTTTTGAAGTTAAATAAAGTTTACAAATTTTGACCAAAAATTTGTACACTGCTTATTTGGTGCTCAGGGAGGACTAGATACTCCCAGGCTCCTACTCTCTGCAAGTTACAGCAAAATGATCCCCTCAGTCCCACCACTAGGAGGCATAGTTTCTTTTCTACATACTTGAATCACTTTTCATTTTGGTCTCAGGCCAGGATTGAAAAGATTATGGATACTATAAACCTGCAGTTACTGTAAAGCTGGAGCTAAAAGGGTTTGGGGATACCTGGCTGTTTTTACCATTTGTGCTGCTGAAACGAGCACAAATTGGCTGTTTTCAGTTTGCTATTTCTTTTTCTTTTTTGGTACCGGGGATGGAACTCAGGTCCTTGCCGGCGAAACCACTGAGCTAAATCCCTGACCCTCCTATTTCTTTTTTTTTCTTTTCCTGGTACCAGAGATCGAACTCGGTACCTTGCGTTTTCGAGGCAAGTGACAGAACCACTGAGCTAAATCCCAAGCCCTAGCCCTAGTTTGCTATTTCTTTCATTAGTATTTTTAAAAACTGAATTTCTGTTTTTTTAACGCAGGGCCTTTGCATTGAGTTACATCCTTAGCCCTTATTTTATTTATTATTTTGAAGCAGTCTGAGTCCTAACCTGGGCTTGAACTTTCAATCCTCCTCTTTCAGTCTCCCAGAGTGGCTTGTGTGACCCCTTCCACCCAGTACATTAGCACCTTTTTTTTTGTACCAGGGATTGAACTCGGGAGCTTGCACTTGCGAGGCAGGCACCGTGCCACTGAGCTAAATCCCCAGTCCCTTGGTGTTTTTTCCTACATAGTTCAGGCTGCCTTCAAACTTGTCACAGTCCTGCCTCAGCCTTCTGCCTATATGTCTCCACTCTCTCCCTAGAGATTTTTTTTTTTTTTTTTTTTTGGTACTGGGGATCAAACTCAAGTCCTTAGGTGCTGGAACCACTGAGCTAAATTCCCGGCCCTCAGCCTCAGCCTTCTGAGTGCTGGGATCTTAGGAATGTGCCACAAATCTAGCTATTTTTTTGTTTCTCAAAATATTTCAAGAGAATTCCCTGGGTTTTTGTTTTGTTTCAGTACTGTTTTTTAGATTAAGCTTTGGGATAAGGCAAACACCCTTATTCCTTAAAACATCTGTGCACTTTCAGCGCCTTTTAGCACAGATGAGTTAAGGATGGGGCTGCATACCTACCTAACCTGAGCTTCAGATTTGGAACTAGTTCATGTGGGAAATGCAAATGAAACCACTGAAGTAATGCAGTAAAAAACACAAACATTTCCATCCCAACCAGATGTTCTCCAAGACAATCTCTTCTCCCTAAGGAAAAAGGAACCAAAGCTTCCTTTTTGACAAAATATCCACTGCTATCCAGAAATCACTCAGGACAGAACCCTTCTGGTTCTTCCCAGTACTTTTCATCAAAGTGTACAGAATAAAAATTTGTAATTACTGTTGTGCCTTTTGGATTACAATAACCACGTACAGCTGCATCTTTAGAGGTTGCATGGAAAATCCCTAATGGAACTATTACAGAATCTTAAAACTTCATGCAAAACTGCTTCGGTATACAGCATTTTGTATTTATCATCCCAAGAAGGCTGTCTGTTGGGGCCAATAATTAAATCAATCTCTTTCCAAACTTGTCCTTGAACGCTGGGATAAAGGGCCATGAAAAGAATTGCCCAGTGTAGCACATTGGTTGTAGTTTCTGTTCCAGCAATGATGAGTTCACCCACTGAGAAAATTAAGTTTTCTTTGGAGAAAGTAGATGATGGGTCATTTTTACCTTGATCCATCTCATCTAAATAAGCATCAACAAAATGCTGAAGTAACTGAAGCTTTCTGTTGACTGAAGCATTTTCATTAAGTCTGGAGAGAAAATCATAGACCACAGCTGCATTTCTAATGTTTTCCAAAAGGCAAGATGCCAATCCATGGAAAGGCATTATATAGGAAGACTGAGGCACTGGTAGCTAGTTCCATGTTCTCGCTAAATAACTCAATCGTGCTGAAAATCAGTGTCTTCATAAGCGAATCTCCAAAAATGATCAGATTGGTTTTATTTGAAACAGCATTAGTTATTAAGTGTTTCAAATCAAAAGGTCTACCTTTGTATGTTTCAATAGCATTAATGAAACATTTGGTTTATTCTAAGATCTTAGCTTCAAAAGATTTTTGGCTATATCCAAAATATCAAGAGCTGTTTACAGCTAATCTGTGATCAATCCATCCTCAACCATACCTGGAATTGAGTAACCCTCCCATTTTTGTCATCTTCATAAATAACAGAAGGCAGGGTCTGTCTGCAAAAATTTCAGACAGAAATTTCTCTTGATGAACAAGGCACTCCTTTACTATGTCATGGCCATTTAGAACCACTGCTGATAGGCCTCCAAGATCCAAACTGAAAATCTGAAATGAAATTACCAAATAGCCCTGTGATTTTTTTTCTTCAAAGCACTTAACTCATTTGTGGTGAATAATCAGACTAATTTTTTCTCTTCTACTAGACTGTAACTCCTTACTGTGTTTGCCTCTTCATCTTTTTAGCCCCATATCAGTCAAGATCCTGGCAGTGCCTCAACTTTCCCACAGCCCAGGGTTGTACTCTCACACTCAGTGCTGAGCCATTACGGCTGTGGGGGTTCAACTAACAGGCGTGCGTCCAGGGAGGATGCAAAGGCACTGCCGGTGGGCCACACAGCACAGGCGCAGGGGCAGGCCAGTAGTACTTTTGAGAGAGTATATGCCAGATGTGGTGATGCATATCTGTAGTCTCAGAACCCTGGGAGGATGCAGCAGGGGAATCAAGTCTAGTGTGGGCAACCCAGTGACTTAGACTATGTCGCACTAAGGCCTGGGGATGGAGCTCAGTGCAAAGACCCTGTGTCTAAACTCCAATACCACCAAAGAAATGAAAATCTATAAACCCCACCCAGCCTAAGAGAAGAATTTTGCTATGTGCCTCAACATGATGTGCCTCCCCCCTTTCCCGGAGCTATCGATTACTATATTATACATACACTCTTAAGGATGTTAATGTTTTTGAGCTTCATATAGCTGTCTATGTCCTCTGTGTCATGCCTTTTTTTTTTTTTTTTTTGGTATTGGGGATTGAACTTGGGTCCTTGTACTTGCACAGCAGGCGGCCAAACCACTGAGCTAAATCCCCGGCCCCTGTCGTGCCTTTTTAAAAAATGTCAACATTGAGCACCTGGCTGGCAAGGGCGAGGTCTTGAGTTCAATCCCCTGTGCCAAAAATAAAAACATCAACATTAAGTTAGATATTCATCCGTACTGAGGCTCAGCTTCTTAACACAGAGTAGACTTTTATTACATGGTTCAGGAATGTACAGTAACAGTAGCTATTGTAGCATTGCCACCCTGAGAATTCCCATCACCTGTCCAGTTGTGCACATTAGGCATGCCTTGGAGATGGAGCTGCTGGGTCACTCAGCATGCCCCAGGTGCTGTGGTGCAGGGTGTGTGCCCACCAAAGTTCTGGTTCTGTTAACAGGTGGGCCTTTTCCAGAAGCGCTCTGCCATGAGGAAGGAATTCGTGAAAGAGCCTTCAAAGTTTGCTCCTCTGCTCCTCCACTCCCCCTCCAGGGAGGACACAGTGTTTATTCCCTCTTGCCCTTCCATCTTCTGTCCACTTGACACACTCGTCCCCTCTGGAGGACATAGCTGTAAAGTACCATCATGAAGCACAGATCTCACTAGACCCTGAAACTACACCTGTCTTTGACTTCGTAACCTCCAGAACTGTAAGAAATGTTTATCTATAAAGGCAAATTTGAGACCAGCCTGGGCTACACAGCAAGACCTTGTCCCCCAAAAACAAAAAGCCCAAATAACAAAAAAAAAACCAGAAAAAAACTCTTAGCTTTTCACAAGATGATGCCAAATGTATCTCTGAAATAGGCCAAGTGTGGTGGCACATGCCTGTAATCCCTGTACTTGGGAGTGTGAGGCCAGCCTGAGCTACATAGCACAAGACCCTGTCTGAAAAAAGCCCTGGGGAGCTGGGGATTTAGCTCAGCGGTATCAGCGCCGGCCTCGAAAGTGCAAGGTCCTGAGTTCAATCCCCGGTACAAAAAAAAAGAAAGAAAGAAAGAAAGCCCTGGGTCCTCATGCTTATTAGGTAAATAGTCTACCACGGAGCTACACCTTCAGCCCATTGACCTCTAAAAGTTTTATAGGTTAGCCTTATACACTTAGGTCTTTATTACCTAAAATTGATTTTTATTGGTTTTTTTGTTTTGATTTTGGGAGACAGGTTCTCACTATGTAGCCCAGGCTGGCCTCAAACTCACAACCATCCTGCCTCAGCCTCCCGAGTGCTGGGGCTACAGGTGTGTGCCGTCATATTTGGCAATTTTTATTTATTGGGGAGAAGGAATCTAATTTCATTTTTTTCCTATGTGGGTAACATTGTTTCAGTATAATTTATTAAATAGCTTCCCCATTCAAACTTTTTTGAATTGTTTCTGGGTTCTTTATTCCATTTTGGTGGTCTATATTTAGACAGTGTCTTAGTATATAGCCCAGGCTGACCTAGAACTTGGCAGTGATCCTCAGCCTCCTGAGTGCTGGGATTACAGGGGTGCACCCACTACCACACCTGACCCCAGCTCTTTATTTTTACTTTTTTATTTTGAGACAATGACTTGCTAAGTTGCCCAAGCTGGGCTTCAACTTGTAGATCTTCCTGCCTCCCAACCTTCCACTATAGGGGTGCATCACCATGCCTACCCCTCCCCAGCCCTTTTTTAAAATTTTGAAAAAGGATCACAAAATGCCCAGGTTGGCCTCCTAACCTTTTTTTTTTTTTGGTACCGGGGATCAAACTCAGGTCCTTGTGCTTATGCAGCAGGTGGCGAAACCCCTGAGCTAAATCCCCGGCCTTGGCCTCCTAACTTTTGATTCTCTCAGCCCTCTGAGTAGCTAGGATTACAAGTGTGCACCTTTACACTTGGCTTCAGTACCTGTTTCAATATGTGTGTGTGTGTGTGTGTGTGTGT